ATCCTACAAATTCCTCCCTCATCGCACTACTCACGTTTACCCGTTCATCCACCAACTTTAGTGTCTCCCTTTCCGCTTCACAACTTGGAGCCAGCATCTATGCAACTAGATGCCAATTTGGACTCAAATTTACAAGTATCAGGTAAAAAAAGTAACTTATAACACGTGCATTTTTTTTAAGTTCTAACTTTTAATCCTCGTTAAATAGCTGACTCAAGCTTTATATATGTTTATGGAATGTTTGGTTCATATATAAACATTTTTGGGTTTCAAACTTTTCTGTATGATGTGGCAAAGATGTATGATTTCATTGTATAATTTGATTTGTAATTCTTTTAAATTTTATAATGTGAAGTATTTTAGTTATGTTTTATTCAAAAACTTCAGAAAAAATCAACTTTTAAATGTTTTCAAAAAATTTTTTAATAATGTTGTACCAAAATGTTGCATTGACTTTTTTGTTTTTGTTTATGAATATATTTTGGCTCAGTATTTACAGGCTTGTCACGAGGTGATCAGAATCCAAATAGCTATACCTTTGGAAACCAAAATACAGAAAATTGGAGTACTGTTCCAGAAAGCACTATGAGATGTTTTTGTGGGGAGGAAATCAGATTCGGGCCATGCCGCCCTCCATAGTGTCTCGAACACAAGCAGCCATGAACCCTAGATTTCCTCGTCTGGGAGATCAGTATCAAGCCCAACCTTCATTTTCTTCTCTAACACAAACATGGGCTAGATGTCCTTACCAAGAAGATCAAAGCCAAGCCACGATCCGAGCCTCATCAGTTTCTTATCCGGTACAGGTGGATAGTGGATTTTCTTATCAAGGAAATCAAATTCAGGCCTTCACGCCATCTCTTTCTTCCAGTGCTGGATTTTCTTGTCAAGGAAATAAAACTCATGCCTGCAGGACGCCCTCACCAATTTCTTCTGTAACACTAGGCAATGATGGATTCGCTTGCCAAAAAAATCAAATTTACACTGGGGCTCTCTCATCACCTTCTCCTCTAAGACAAGGAAATTATGGATTCTTTGGCCAAGGATACCAACCTCCGAATTCTGAAATTCATGCCCTGATGACAGCCTCGTCAATTTCTTCTATGACACAAGCAGTGGCTGGATTTTCTTGCCAGGGATGTCAAATCCCAGGTTACACAATCCAGGATCCTCTCAGCGAAATACTCAAAAACGTGGAAAATCATTTGTTTGATGACTCAGAACTCAACATCCTTATGCTTGATGAAGTGTTCACTCCTTCCCTGCCTGTGGAGGTTTCCGAGGAGAACCAGTTGTTTGATATGCTGGCACAGAGTGATGGGTATGCCTTCTCAGATCAGAAGAAGGACGACCATGAAGCTGGAAAATAGAGGTACGTAAGATGGCTTGACTGAAGATTAGCCAAATGTAAGAAGGAATAGGGGCAACAGCAGTAGTAGGAATTTTTTAATTTTCCTCTATTTTCAAGCAATTAAGGAAGTCTGCAATTAAGAAATTGCTCTACACTCACAGCCAAATAGTCAATGATACTGGGGATTAGTTGCATGTCTGTATGATTTATATGCATGTCTGTATCAATAGATGTATATATGCATCAAGTTGAAGTCAAATAAACCAAAAGTGAATCTATAGCGGTCCATTTAACTAGCAAAAGAATTTTCAAATAATCGTTAAAAAAAAAATGAAATGAAAAACGACCTGGTTATGTAGTTGATCCAATATGTCTGCATTGGTGCCTAGATCATGAATTTATGATGCAATTATGATGACCCTTTTTTGTTTAATTTTATGAAGTGCAAATGTTTCCAACGAATCTTCACATTCTAAAAGCGCATACATTTGGAGAACAAGCCTAAAGAATTTGGACCAAATTGTTTGAAAATGTCACCGTAATGGAATGGGTATGCTTATATGTATGAGTTGCTGTCATATTGCATGCAACTGCTTGTTTATATTCAACTATCCCTCACATGAGAATATTTATAATTGGAGCCAATAATTAGGGCTTGTTGGAATGACAAAATGCTTTTCATGACTTTGACCTTGGCATCAACTGAGGAAAGAGTGGCATATTCATATATATAATATTTAAGTGAGTGTATTTTCTGGAGAAGATAAATTCACCATATGTAGCTATATACATATGATGCAAATGCACATGCACTGGTGGCTACGCGTGGCTACTTGCATATCCCACCCAACAAGATGAATCTCTGAGGAAGTTGTCTGTCTTTAGGAACCCCTTCAGCTTTAGAAATTGGCTAATTGGATAAGTTTGTGTTTTATGTAGAAGATCAGTATATATTTTAACCTATTCAGTAAGTTTTCTGACTTTACTAATGATTATTAACAAGTTCCTTATGGTTTGGGATTTAATAAGTTCCTTATGGATGCACTATTAGCTGGAGAGCATCATTCTTGCTATAGAGTTGACTTCATCGTTGTTGCTGTTTGTTTTCTAGAGCATAAACATTGTTTGCTAAAGGCAAAAGACAACAAGACATAGCTGTATTACTAAAAATTCACAGGCCCCTATTGACAATCCCACTAATGTAGTGTCCTTAACATGAATATTGCCCTTTGATCTTTCTAAATATGTCCCTGTAATCCAATCAAAGTACTAATATTTTGCTTAAGCAACATAGATTTAAGCTAGAGCTGGAGGTACTGAGAGCATGGATTAGGCTTCAATGGTCATGAAAATGTGTACAATGTGTGGGCTCACCATCATGGCTATGGAGTGACTTAGTGGATGAGATGCCTGGTGAAATTTCTTTCCATGTTTAGCTCTATTCTTGTGCCAGATTATTAATTATACTAAACAAGAGAGTGAAAAAAGTGAGCATGACTTCAATGTAAGAGCAGTTAAAAGTTTTGAAATAAGAGAAAAGAAGAAAACTGTTATTAGCTAACATGGGAGGGACAACCACATATTCTAGCGTTTTTTGACCACCTTAGGTTGTTTATTTTATTCTGTAGTAGCTCATGCACCTTCTCTGTCTCTCTTCTGTGCACTGCTCGTCAATGAGAGAAGGAGATCATCTAAGTGCAAAGGTAAGGGCCACTTTTTGTGCTTGACTGGAGCTATTTTTTAATTTAAAGCAATATAGTTTAATCTGCTGATATCATAATGATCTTACAAGTGGCACTCCAGAAGGCCAAATGCATGTGCACACACAGGGACTGACATGCACCTAACCACGTATAGATTTTATATGTGTGCATTAAATATGCATTTATTCCTACATTCCAAAACGCTAATTTATTTCTTTGAGCATCAATTACTGTGTTCCTGCTGCGACTAAAGGTCATAGCACAACCTTCATTTTTGCCATGGGATTCTTGAAAATGGTTGCTAGTTTCTGACCTTAAATTAATCTTTCTTTTAGCGGGCAACAATCAGGGTTGATGGTGAATTTGCAATTGGCATGCCATAGCAAATTTTATTTTATTCTATTTTATTTTTCTAATTTCTTTCCTTAAAAGTAAGCAATTTTCCGAAATATAAATTGAAAAACATAAACATTATCAGATGCAACCTTCTAACTCCTTTTTTGTTGCAAAAACAGGTCACAACATCAAAATAAGGCTGCTGCAATGGCTGTTCTTCATGCTCGCTTGGACCAGCTTGAGATGGCTCACCGGGCTCAGTTGAATGCACAACATAAGCAACCTCTAACAGAAATTAGTTGGGGCAACCAGATACGAACTTATGTGCACCATGCATGCAAGGAGAATTATATTTTCATAATTTAGTAGAAACTGGATTGTGCATCTTTACATTCTCATTATCATTGCAGCCCTACTGCATGGTTAAGGATCTTCGAACCAACTATGAGGTTTCCATAGTTACATAGTGAGCTTTTTAGCAGCAGCCTTGGATAAAGATGAAGACAGCTGGTGAGTCTTTAGCAAAAGTTACGTTGGCTGCTTCTCATTAGTGGAGTCTCATTGGCTACCTTAGATGAAGATGATGACGACTTGTAAGAGTTTCAATAAAACTCTCCATAACAGGGTATAAAAGCTGCACCTTTGAAGAATAACAAATAAACGATTTTGGTGGACGCTGGTCCTTTTCTTCTAAACATGTCTGGTGTTTGTCTAGAGAGAATATTGATAAAGCCTTCTCTTTGCAGAGACAGCAGCATTTGTATTTAATTTATTTTTTTATTAAATATAAAAATTTTTGGTTGTGAGAGGAACATTTATTCTTTCCACAGATCCCTCTTTGATGGGCACCTGCGTTACTTTTGTTTTAAAATTTCATTTGGTGCAATGCATTGTAGTTCGTCATGCTTGAGTATTTAAGTTTCTATGTAGTTCATCATTACTGAGGAAAGATGCAATCTATTCCCTTTTTGATAATATAAAACTAGAATATGCTTTGTAGGTTCATTAGAATAAAAAAACAGGACACAATTTCTGAAAACAGACTTTCATTTATGTGAAATGAGAAAAGAACCTGTTGCAATCGTGAAAACTGATTTTTCATTTTTGAAAAATTATACAAAATATTAGAAGTCTATTCTCGAACATTTCCTACACTTTTCTTTATAAAATGCAGTTTCGGTGTTCCGTCATTAGTACTTAGAAAAGCATACAAAATTCCCATTTGCATGGATATTGACCTTTTTCCAGTTGAAGATAAAATCTAAGACTTGAAAATACGTTTTCCACACCTCAACATAACATGTACTCACTTTCCTCTAGCAGTTTGTTGTCCTTGGTCAATTCACAAATGATCACATCAGATGGTACTGAAACCTAAAGTTCCACAAAAGGCAATTATTTTGCGTACTTCCATGACAGAAAATGAAAAAAATAGAAACTCTCAAGTATATTCAATTAGATGTGTGTCGAACTACATGAACAAGATGAAAAGTACCATCTACATGTACTAAATATAAGTAAGCTCAAACAACCCCCTATTATCTTGATATTCCTCTCACCATAAAACAAAATTGAGTAACCAAATTGCATATATGTCATGCAATCCACAATCAAGAGAAGTGTATTCCAGCCCTGTTAAACAGAGACAGTACGTGCATGAAATCAGCCTGTGTGAGCTTGGAGGACCTCTTCTCCTCAAAACCTCCTTGCTTCAACACACCCAAAACCTTGTCCTTAAATTCAGACCCTCTTGTGTCCCCATCCTCCATCTCCATCTCTTCTTCATCTGCTCCATCATCAATCTCCATACTCGTGTCTTCACCAGTGTCTCCCAAAGCCGAAACATCCATTGTCATTTCAGTGTCTTCTGATGCTCCATTCTCTGGGAGTTGCAATGCTCGCAATGTTTTATAGTTCTTCTCCAGCAATGACAGAACAGATTTCTGCCTAAAAATTGAACCCAGTGTCTTGTTCTTCCTATTGAAGCATATTCGGACCAAACCATCCCATTCTTTAAAATTCACTGAAGGCTGTGGCTTCCTAGGCTCTATTCTTACTACAGAGGAATCAACCTTGGTGGAGGCCGGAAGTTGTTCTTCCCCACTTTAAGTAAATGGGAAACACGGGACAGAAGCTGGGTGTTTACAGAAAGGCGACAGTACAGAGTGTCACCAGGCTGAGCAACTAGTCGCATGGCAAATTCCCTCTGGAACATTATCACTGCACACCTGAATAAAGGTCGATGGGCCAACAGTTTGAAAGTTAAAGGAGAAGAGATCTGATAAGGAATATTTGCCACACAGATGTCAAAGTATGGAAGATCGCACTTGAGAACATCTCCCTGGATAACCTGCAAAACATTGTCATGGGAAGGATGAACTTCACCTGGGTGAAAATTGTAAAGCAACAAAAGCAAGGTCATAATGATCATGCATAAATGTTGTTAAATGATGTTAGAAAGCTCAAAATTTGCTATCGACATCCCATCATTAATCCTGTAGCAGGAAAACCCATTTCCTACTTGAAGTTGCTTCAAAAGCTATAAAGATGCTATTTACAATCAACCAGTAGTATACTAAAAATATCGTGCATGATTTATCAGTCAAAATTCAAGTGAACAATTGAATATCCATATCAAAGGCTTCAATTTCCAAATGCAACTGAACCTCCAAATCCAACTATCTGCCACTAGAACAACTTAGTTCACTAAAAAGAGTGTACCTACTATCTCTAAGTATAGCTTCCAAAGCTAACTTCAACAAGTGCATACATGGAAATAAAAGTACCAACAGTTTTATGAAAATGCGGCTAAGGTGTCAGCTCAGATTTTGCAGAGATATCTTCACTTGAAGAACTCTTCCAATCCCTTTTGAAATGTGACGTTTCTATTTGTTTCAGCTGTGAGGTTATTTCAGAATTCTTTCATCTGAGTTTTAGCAATTTTTGTTTCTTTGCCATTATTGTGTTCAACTATTCATTGTGCATTGAGACTCAACAAGTTCCACTTTTTTTATCCCCTCATTTCATTTAATCACACACACGCGCGCGCATGCGCGCGCAATCACAGCCAGGTGCCCAATCCCATCTGGGTTTCAGTAACAAGTCTATTTGCTGGTTTTTTTTATACACTCATGTCATCGAGCATTTGCTGTCTTCACTAATCGAACTTCAATAGTTTTTCATTTTTCTCATCCTCTTCATGTAGAGGTGCTATATATGCACATAAATTTATCCTAACTAATATGTAAAATTTCAGGGGTTCCTAGGTCACCTGGCTTCTTGGACTAACCAGTTCAGCTTTCAGCCTGAAGGGCCAAAAGCGAAAGATGGAATACTGCAAACAGAATTAAGCCCAGAAAACCTCAACATTCTAGCTTCTAGTATTTTCCTTTTGGATTAAAGAAGAAAACATAATTCAAAAAAGCCAAGCAACAAAACAGCCCCACAATGGGGTAAGCTCTCTGTTTAGGTATCTTTTTTTGTGGCTTAGTGGTATTTTGAAGTCCATTGTGATGTTTTTTATGATTTTGATATGATCACCAGGTCAAAGACGATTTATTTGCTACTATTCTAATTTGAGGATCTAATGCTTGCAACATTTATAAAATCCTGAAAATTTTCTCATAATATAAGGGTTTTTTCCTCGGTTTTAGAATTTTGTAATTTATTGCTGCCCAAGATTCGCAGAAGTACTAGTATGATGGCAGTTGGCTACATGACTCAAATAAAAATTTCAAATATTGTTAGCCACTTTCATCCTCCTTGTATGATGAAAGAAGAAAAAGTCATTGCTAATGAAGTGAAGTTTTGTTTTCTAAAACTCCAATTTGCAAGTTTAGTTGTTCCGCGGTTGGGTTTAGTAGCAAATATCGATGTAACTTAAGCTGCAGAATTCAAGGTTTCCTTACATTCAATAGGAAATATGTCCATTTTGTCCAAAATCACAAATTCAATTATGGTAGCAGATAAATTTAGTCTTCTAAGAAAATATGGGAACAGAAAACTAAGTAAATTACATGTAATATGTCAGTGGATTCCCATGAATGGAAGCTGAACCACAAGTAATGCGTTAAAAAAATTGGCATTCATCTTACAAAATAAGATTACCTTGAGGCGGTTAGAGAAAGGGGTGCCCTGGAAGCGGCGTTGCAGCTCGAGGACCATGCGAGGATCGAGCTCGATGGCGATGACAGACTTCCCGGCCTCCAGAAGCTTCTTCGTGAGGTTACCAGTTCCGGGACCAATCTCGAGGATGACATCGGTGCTCTTGATTCCAGATTTCTGGACGATGGTGTCGATAAGAAGAGGGTTTCTCAAAATATGCTGTCCCTTAGACTTGTGGAATGGTATACCCCCCTGGTAATGCGGGTTCGCTGCCGCTGTCTCTCCGCCGCGGCGGGGCCTCTCCTTCTTGATCTTCCCTCCCGCCATGGTCGAACCTCTGCACCAAGAGGCGATAGTTGAGAAGAGAGATGGCGTATAATCCGGTAACAAAAAAATATAATACTGAACCGTATAGATCAATAGCTGAAGACATGTGATGGTCGACGACGGAGGAGGCTGAGAAGGTTGCGGGTTCAGAGGTGTGAAAGCAGACGGCTTCGGATAATGAGTGGGAAAAGTGAGCTGACAAAAGACCTAGGACTGTGGCATCATTTTATTTAAGTTGAAGGGTATTTTTGGAATTCAATAAAATAGAATCAACGCCTTAACGGCGAATCCGAGTCCTGGAGCTCCCGATATCTTTCTCCCTCTCCCGCTCGTATTGGTTCCCACCGAACCCTAGCTGGATCTGTAAAGCCAGCTGAGACCAAAGAGGTAATTCTGTTGCATTGTGCGGGAAAATTTTCGAATTTGCACGCTGTTTTCCATTCGCCGGCAATCTTCATTACCGACAAGAGCAAAACAAAAGGTTACACGCTGTTCTCTTCGTTCTTTTTCGTTAATGGCATAATTTCCTCAATCTATGTATTTTTTTTTTTTGGTGCATTTTATGTCTTCGGTAGTTCAAATCCTCATGCCCTACAGTCTTAGAAGAGATAATTCGTTTACTGATTGCAGTCGACGAGTGATCCGGAATATCAGAACAAGAACTGGGGGGCGAATTTCTTGACGGAAATGGAATCTTCTTCGTTGATCACTCCAGAAGATGTTTTGGAGAGTTTGATGAATGATGGTACCATCGATGCCATGAGACTGAAGATTATCAATCAGCTCAAAGCTAATGTAAGTGTCTTCTGAGCTTGAGTATATGAAATAATCTAAGGCTGTCTAAGGTTTCTTTGGATTGTGTTGTTAGGCTGATGGTAATTTGGTTGTTGGTGAATGTGTTTTTGTTATGTCTTTACAATATTACTATGTCTGAATTGACATAGATAAACGGACCCTGTTTGCATAGCTTTGGCTACCAACTTCATCAAATTCCGTATAGAGGAATAGTGGCATGGATTAAATAACAAAGAAATAAGCAGGGGAATAGGGCAGGGGAGGGGGAATAGAAAAATCAAATTTCTATTCTTTTCTTTGAATTTCATTCACTTGATTGCAACCAACTTATCTAGACTTGAAGCATTTCCATTGAAGCTATCAAGGTTTATACGATCTAAAACTATTGGTTATCCACATTAATCAGCTGAAGTTGAATACTATCTAATTTGTTGATGCTTCAGAAAAGGAATCCTATCCAAGTTGTCGATAGTATTCCCACCATACCCATTTTTATCAAGCTGAATTGGTTAAAAATATTGCAATACTGGGAAGATGTTGGATTCCATCTCTTGAGAATTTTATGCCTCAAACTAAAATAATTTGAAATTTCTAGTTCCAAGTCTTCCTTGCTCAATATTAGGCCTGTTCAGATTGCAAAACTGTTGGCAGACAGATATGTCACATTGCTTAAAGCTTACCTGCCTGTTTAAAGCTTTAAGTTGAGCATGCCATGATGTTGTTAGGATCTCAATATAAGTTCACTTTTTAAAGTGAAGCTTGACCAAACAGTTAAATTCAGGTCTAATTTATCTGTGGTATTAAGTTCCTCTCATATTTTGGTTACTTAGTTGCCTAATTGATGTTGACTGCAGTTCAATATGGTTTGGCAAAGGTTTTAAGATATTTATCTCTGGAGTTCTAGTCACTTATTTTTCATACCCATCGCTAGTTTTCCATTGCTCCAGCTCCTGCTCTATTTTGATTTCCATTGGACCAGTCAACCAAATTTAAAAGCATCATAAAGAAGGATCATGTGATGCTGTTATTCTCTCTAAATTATAATCTATTAAAAATGGAAAAAGTGGTTCAAATGGAAACGGTTCTAAAATATATGTTTTCATCTCTCTCTCTCTCTCTCTCTTCTTTTTTATTTTTCTTGCAGGAAGAGCTTAAGAATACCACCATTAAAATGGCAGAACAAAGTAAAGTTCTTAACACTCCTGGAGCAGAAAAGCAGACAAAAAGAGAGTTGTTTGATGCACTCCGGCAAGAACTTGAGTAAGTTTCGGTATTACTTTGCAGTGTTTGCTTCATACAGGAGAGGAGAAATAATATTTCACAGGCTTTGATGTTTGATGCCTGCATGATAAACAAACACATCCTTTTATATTGTCTTTAGTTCAAACACATGAAACTGCTTCAGGAGTTTATGTAGGTTGTGTGCACTAGGTGATACGTGACTGTGAATATAAGGTTTAGGTTTGTTGAAGAGATGCTTACAATACAGGCATATAGAAAGAGAGGTACGCTCGTGTACTTAAGAAAATTGATGGTGCTCTTAGCTTGTGTTTTTTTCCTATCATAAGCATAGTTTATATATGATATATACCAGAAAGTGTAGTTATATTCAATGGGATCTTGTACATTTTTATGGGACTGTAATTAGTCGTGCTCGCTAATGAATCAACATGTTCCTAATAATATTTTTAAGATGAAGTAACAGGGAAACAAATCTCCTTCTGAAATTAAAAAAGAAAGTTAAATAGAATTGCTAACCCTCACGGCCTAACTGTGGTGGAAACTGCATTATACACAACCCAAAATACAAACGACAAAGTGTTAGTAAAACATGCAAAGATTTTATGGTAGGTGCTTCATTAAACTAATTTCATTTGCTGATTCATGGTAAGTGCTTTACTTTGTTAACTTCTTGTGATATATTTTGGTGTCTTGCAGAACGTCAGTGCTTGAGAAAGCCTCTAAGTCGGTTTGGGAGTTAATCTTGGACAACAATGGACTGGGGAAGGAAATAAGTGAAACTGTTGAACGGGTATTTTGTCGGTTAAGTGGCCGTGAGCCTCCATTATTCCCATCAAATGTTGATACCCAATCCGACAAAGGCAAAGATGTAGAAATTGGGAAGGAGAACTCAGACTCCACATCAAAGAAAAGAAAATTTGATGAGGTGAACTCTGAAGATGGGGCAGATGAAGTTGCAAGTGGATCTAGCAAACCTTCTGCTGCATCAGATGATTCTGGCAAGGTTGCAAAGTGAAGTGTGATAACATATGACCAATCTTACGTGAACTCTGTGAAAGTGGGCCGAGCAAAATAGTTGGTAGACCTGCCCACAATTGAGCTTGGTGGCCGAAATTTTTGGACTTGAATCTTTTGTAACTGCCTGGTCTTTGCGCTGAACAGATAATACGCTTGTACTTAGAGCGCTTGGATCAATTTGAAGTAGGTGTAGAATAGCTGTTGTTACACACCTCAACAACTTGTGTTAACTTACCATTTTACTGAAATCCAGAGTTATTAATCAAGATTTATGTGTAATTCCATGCTGACGTGTAAGATCCTGGTAGGTGTCAAATGTTTATTCTTATAAGACACTTGCAGATTTTCATTTTCAAATTTCTCAAGCAAACACTAGCTCAGTATGTTGCTTCCATCCGAAAATATGGCCTCTAACTAATTAAAATATTATTTGAAAAATAGATTATTTGTATTTTTTCTAACTATTTATGCTATATTTACTACGGCTAATTCAAAGTGAATGTGTAACAATCGGAATTTAAACACTCAAATTAATAATTTGTTTGATTCAAAATTTTTCAGAGCTTTGGACAAAAGACATAGGTTCCTGGGTTGGCTTGGGCTTTGGATTAAAAAAAATGTATTTGTTTACTACTTTTGAATGCAAAAATCATGAAGTCTTTTAGTAAAATATATTAAAACTTTAATTAAATAATGTAAAAAATTAAATCTATAAATTTTAAAATTAATAACCCAAATTTCTTAAAATAAAAAATAAATAAATTTTCAAAATGAAAAAAACCTTATTCATTGTAACACCTCATCTCTCACTCTCTGTAAAATCTACCCAGCCTCCAACAATCACTGCAATCCACTTTCGGTCAACCCCTCCACTTTTATATATCCAATCAACTTTTAACATTGTTAACAGGAAGAAAAACTCTTTTAAACATGGCGCATGAATTTATTTATTTTTCATTTAAAAGGCAGAGAAATTAAGTATTATAGTATTTAAGTTTTTATAAATTAAAAAATAAATATATTTTAATTTTTAAATTTTTTTAAACGTAGTTAAACCCAACCACATGTCACATCAACATTGTTAAAACTTACCATAAATCAGTAGTATAACAAAATAAATTTTTTATAAGTGCCTTTTTAGATAATATATGCGTGCGTGTGTGCGTGCACGCGCGCGCAGGTGATATTTAACGAGATTGGCGTGACGTATTGTTGGATTTGTCTAAATTTAAAAAATAGAAAATTTAAAGTATTCTAATTTTTTAATTTATAAAAATTTAAAATTATAATACTTGATTTCTCTACTTTTAAAATAAAAATTCATGCAGTCGGGCATGCATAAAAGATTGTACTATCCATTAAATTACATTATTTTGTAGATAAAATTCTTTTATTGATAAAATGGATTAACTTCAATCAGGACGAATAAAGTAAACATAGTATAATACTTCCACCAACAATGAGGAAAAATTCACAACAATGTGTGACAGGGATTGAATGATAATAATAAATAATTGAATAAAAATATATAAAATTTATGTAACAAATATCTGATATCGTTTAAAAAGATATTTTTATAAAGACAAAATAAATAAAACATTATCTAATAACTAATTCTAACCTTAGTGTCTTACTTTATATTAAATATATATATAATCAAATATTAATATAATCTAATTTTTAATGGCTAATTTTAACCCTAATTTTCAACACTCTTCGTCCCTCGATTATCTTTTAACAGTATGGGATCAACAAGAGAGTTCGTCCATTTCAATCCTATTGTGCTTGACAAATCAAAAAAATTATGATTTTAAAAATTTTTTTGAATTTTTCTAAGGGACATTTATCAAAATGAACAAAATATTGGTGACATTTTAAGACAGAGAAATGCAATCTGTTTGTCTTGAACATAAAGTCATATGAGAATTGAAATAGGTAAAAATTTTCAGATCTACGCAAAATTTTCCAATTTATATATTTAATGTAATGATTTAAAAAAATCTAAATTCATTTTCAAATTTACTGAAATAAAAAAATAAAATAACTTCCGAAATGGAGCAACTATAATATCTGTCGTATAGAATGATAGGATTTTTTATGCGAACTCTTCAAGTCATTAGTCAAATGACTTGCTTAATTTTATTATTATAAGCTTTTTTGTTTCCATCATAAACTTACTTTGAGACTAGATTCACTTGCCATAGTCTCCTTGTCCACCACCACTAAGCAGATGAAATTAATTAATTAACACAATAAAATCATTATACTTAATTGCATACACTGGGAGATCATAGACAACTACAAAAAGCTGAAGCCGTGGATAATCTCTTCACTAATATTCTAGATTTGCTTACTTAATTAAGTAGGCCCAGTCAGTTGGATTTAATTAAGCTACAATAGAAAAGGTAATTGATACTCTGCTTAGCTTAAGACAGTAAAGTAATACATCTTGGGTTTCTTGTTACAACTTTTTGAGTTGCTTATTAAGGGACACTCCAGTTATTTATGAATTTCTCCAACTATTCGTAGGTGGATCTAGAAATTTTGAAAATGAAGAGAATTTACTGGGTGATTTGTGATATTAAATTCTAAGCAAAATCTTTTAGTACTTGTATTTCCATGCATGCACTTGTTGAAGATTATTGCTTTGGAAGATTTGCTTACTAATTAGAGAGAGAAGGTAAGCCGTTTTCAGCTAACTAAGTTGGCCTGGCAGAGAGTTGTATTTGGAGGGTCTGTTTCATATGGAAATTTAAGCCTTGCACAACAAGAAAATAAAGGAATTAAGACGGACCAATTTGTTGCTATTTCGTCGCAACGTTGTCAGTAAAGGATTTAGTGGTAGATTATTGACCAATTAGCAACCAAAATTGTTCTCACTAAATATTGGTCGCTAATTGAATAAATCATGAACGATACCTTAATTACACCATTACTATTTAATTGTAAATGATTGTTTACGGGAGTTTTTGAAAAATAAGAAGTAGATAAAAGTTAATTTTAATTAAAAGTTAATTTGTATTTATAAAATGTATAAAAAATTTTCGAAATCAGTAAAATAACATTTAAGTTATAAGTTTTGTGAGGTGATGGTAGAGAAATTTTTAGAATAAATAAGATAATTTTATTCTTGCATATTTACTTTTTAATTTGATAAAAAAAAATTTCTGTTCAAATTCTTAACCTGTGATTCCATTTAAGATTTTTTTTTTCTTGTAGTATCGAGCCACACGCAGTGGTGCAGTGATCGCTGCTGCTACGTGCAGGATCATCGCTACTGCATGCAATAGCCATCTATATCGCTGGCGGTGTCCCGCTGGCGTCTGCTGGAATTGGCAAAGAGAGAAACGAGGGACAGGGTAAGGGTAATCTTGAAATTAAAAAAAAGAAAATGAGCACAAAAAGATCAGTTTACACCTTAAAACAACGTTTAACTATTTAGAACAATGTTACCCACGACGAAAAGCAACCTCCCATTTGCTTCCCCAAAACAGTTCTACCAGCTTGAAAAAACAAGAATAAAAGTCATAAGCGGCATCGCAAAATTCTAATATCACTTTTTGGCATTGGAAAACCTTCAACAACTTCTTAGAAATTGCCCCAAACATCACCTAAATAGCATGTTTACAGCTTTTGAAACAAACTTCAAGTGGGAAATGGGTTTTACTGCCAGAGGATTAATGATGCGATGTTGACAGCAAACTATAAGTTCTTCAATATCATTTGACCACATTTTATGCATAATAGTTGTGAACTTGCTCATATTGCTTCACAACTTTCACCCAGCTGAAGTTCATCCTTGCAAATGGCAATGCTTTGCAGGTTGTCTAGGGAGATGTTCTTGAACAGTAGTCCAAGTTTCTGCATTTTGGTTTCCGTGGGTATAGCTTTAGATTCTGATCTTCTTGTGACAAATCTGTAAATACCAAACCAAAATATGTTCATTAAAAAAAAAAAAAAAAAGTCAATGCAACATTTTTGTACAACATTTTTAAATTTTGTTTTGAATTCATTTAAAAGTTTATTTTTAGGAAATTCAATTTTGGGTGCTTTTAACGAGTTCTTAAGATTTTTCTCACATCTTTTTCTAGTGAAAAAAGTCAATTTTTCTGAAATTTTTGAATAAAAAGTAACCAAAATATTTCACATTCTAAAATTTAAAACAATCACAATCAAATTATACGGTGAAATCTTAAATTTTTACCACATCATATAGAAAAGTTGGAACCCAAAAATGTTTATGAACTATATATATATATATATATATGTATGTATATATATAATTTTTTAATGAGGATTAAAAGTTATATTTTAAATTATGTATATGTTATAAGTTACTTTCTTTACCTGATATTTGTGAATTTGAGTCCCACGTAGGATCAGATGCTGGCTCCAAGTTGTGCAAATGGAAAGGGAGAGACTAAAGTTGGTGGATGAATGGGCAAATATGAGTCCTGCGATGAGGGAGGAATTTGTGGAGCTGGGCGTGGGTTCACATAATCGTTAATGCCAAAAGTAACTAAGTGGAAGTGAGGGGATTCCATTTGTGGGAATGTTTTCCTACTCAGCTCAAAGATACGAGAGTCAAACTGCAAAAGTTTTAGCGAGTGTACATCAAGATATCCTGGAGAAAATGCAACATAATGAACACACTTCATTAGTTAAAGGACATGAAACATGCCTCCAAAAATTATAGAAAACAAAAACAAAAAGGAGAAAACAAAAGGGTCCTTATAGTTCACTCAGAAATCCTATTTGGTCTTTATAGTACAAATTATTACATGTTTGACCCTGCATTTTGCATGATTTATCCAAATAGGACAATTTATCAGAGTGGTTTACTTCGTTAACGGCAAGCCATGTGCATTCCTTTCATGCTTTTAAATAATTAAAACTTCCTTGAAGGAAAAGAATTTAGAAATTAGACGATTTAGATATTAATCAACCCACAGAGACAGAAAGAGAGAGAGAGCGTGTGTGTGGGGGGGGTGGGGGTGA